CTGGAAAATCTCTAGGGGGAAAAAAAGGTTCTATGATCTCGACTCTAAAGTGAACAGGGATAAAACTAAACTAACAAACCAGCACCTTATAACATCTACAAAAAAAGAGTAGATGTACTTAGCCTTTTTTAAATTGACAGAACCTGAGAAATTTCTACCTAATCAGTAATTTCAGGCTACTGTCAACATTTTGTGAACCTTTCCAATTCCCAATTAACCTTGGGCCAGTGCTTCAAATTTTCAGATATTCAATTGCCTGTCAAACTTTAGAAACAATTACTATTATCTTGTGATATGCAATTCAAGATGCTTTCAAGGAAGTGAGGGCAAGCTGTAGACTTGATGAAGAACATGTTTGAAACAGCTTAAGTATATGTTCCAACTCATTCATTCATTCATCAGTAATCTCTGTGCCAATTTGAAATGGCAAATTTTCAGTATGCAATTTAGCAAAACACTGTACTAGTCTAAGTGCTGTGAAAAGGTTAAGCAAATAATAAGTGCATTAGATAATTCCTAGTGTTTCAGAATTGAGACACATCACTTCACTGTCACCTCTTACTTAAAAACTATCCTCCTCCTCTTATGAAAGGATTGCTCAGACCATTAGTTAAGCAACCTGTTTAAAAGGTAAAGTCTAGTCAAATGTCAGAGCTGCACTCATTTACAAGTTTGCCAACCTGATTTTCAGAAGTTAGTTTACTAGAATCAAGATTTATATTTTAAAGACAGCATTCTTAAGATACTGAAAAATATTCCATATCATAAATTAATAATACCTGGGTGGAAAATTAATCATGCTGGTACTTTTGGAATAAGCTGACAGTTCTCGTAACTTACGTTAACAGAATGGTTCCAAACATTTCCTGACAAAATGCCAAGAGGTACAGGGGGAAGTCAACTAACTCCAGGGGGCTGGCTCACCATGCTGCAGCAGCTTGGTGCTATGATTGGGATTTGTTTAGCCCTGTATTAGCAAGCTACTCCTGCAGCTGGCATCATTATGGGAGTCACCTATTGCAAAAGTAAAGCACAGCAGTTTTGGAGCAATGGTTATAAAACTGAAAGATGCGTAGTACTATGCTGACCACTCAGATTAGCCTCAGACCTTCCCAGCAGAGCAATAATAGGAGTACATGAACCACCACCATCACATCACTCCTCCTTGATCTCTTTATGGCAGCAACCAGGAGGATCTTGATCTATAATATTACCATGGAAAGGGAAGTTTCAAGAACCACCATATTTGCTCACATATCCCACGACCCCAAATAAGATTCACACTTTGTTGTAGGACACCAAAATGAAGAAAAGCGGTTTTCCAGAGTGATGGCCGATTCCTAACTGCATGGGATCGTGATCGTATGACTGAATCCTGACTGGTGCTGCTCAGGCAAAAGGTAAAATGCCAGTGGTACCATGGTAGAGGTAAACTGCCATTGGTGAATTGGCAGCAGCAACTGCCCGATCACTCAGCCAAAGGCTACTGCCACTTTTGCAGAGCTGTGAAAGGGTTAACACTGTAGCTCTGCCCCTGAGGCTGGCAGAGGAAGCAGCCATTTTACAGCATCTCCATGCTTCTACTCCAGCACAGAAAATCAGCTTTCCCACTTAAGATGCACACCACAGTTTTGTAGGGCTGATTTCAAGGGTAAAGATAGGCTTGGTATGTAAGTAAATATAGTAGACTAATACTGAACTTGAAAAAAAAATCATCTCTGAATAAATATATCTGGTAAGTCTCAGGTTTCAATAATATTTTTGAGTATTTAGAAGCCAGTGATAGCTGATTTGGGAATCTGAACAGTTAAAAGAAATATTATATTTAGATAAGATTTCTGTAAGCTAGAGTTACTCATCTGGGTTTTCCCAGACATGTCCTCTTTTTGAGTCCTCCAATCTCTGCCCAGGCGAGTTTTTCAAATCTGACCAAACATCCAGGTTTTTGCTTTGCTCTGCTGGTGGGAGCAGGAGGAGGAGCAATTGTAGGCAGGGAGCACCATGTGTGTCTGTGCGGGGCCCAGGAGCTGCAGGCAGGTAAGTCTAGGTTGTGGGGCTGGGGGAAGAGTTGCCTGCCCCTCCGGCAGGGGAAGAGGGTGGGGGAACCCTCTGAGGGCAGCAGAAAACTCTGTAGCCGGGCCGGCAGCACAGGGGCCAGTGCTCATGCTCACAAGGGCAGAGTGGCCAGAAACGCTGCCTTGTGGGAAGGGGGCCATGGCCAAGCCAGGTCTCCTGGCACAGTGCGGCAGCCCCAGCCCAAGACAGGGGGCACCAAAAGCCTCCCCTCTTCCCTCCAGCATTCACTGGGGCCAGACTCACTCTGAGCCACTGTGCTCTGGCCTGCTAGAGACAGTGGCCCCTCCAGCAGGGCTGGGGGGGAACAGGGGGTTGTGGGTCAGGAATGAGGGGCACCAGCAGGGACAGAGGGGGCTGCAGGTTGGGAGTGAGGGGCACCAGCATGGCTCAAGAGGGAAGGAGTGATGGGGGGGGCTGCAGTTTTGGAGTGAGGGGAACCGGCAGGGCTGGGGTTTGTGGGTTGGAAGTGACGGCAGCAGCAGGACCCGGGGGGGGGGGGGGGGGGGGAAGGGGGGGG